TGTGTGTGTGTGTGCATGTGTGCGTGGATAAAGAAACTGAACTGACCGAAAAACAGGATATAGGAAAGGCACCCACAAACTACGGAAACGCAAGCCCGGCTCCGGAGATCGTAGTGTTTTCAAGAGATGCAGAAATCGAGGGGGACCTTCGTGCACAACGGAAGCCATGAGCCAAGCTGGCTATCCCGAGGAATAAGATACCCCGACGGCCTTTGGGGACCTTCGGGGCTCCTGGGAGCTCGCCTCCATCGTGGTTCCCACATCTGTGACGGAGCTCAGGGAGTTGGGGGCCAGGGAATCCAAGTAGCATGTGGCCGTGCAGCCATTCGTTCGCATAGGCGTGCTTCTGCAGTTCCGTGAGCTATCATTGCGCTCCTGGTGTTGTTGCCCCTCGTCTTGCATGATTGTCCGCCGGCAGGATAATCTCGCAGAATGTGTACATTGCGGTGCAGATTGAGACTCTGAGGCGTTTTGGTTTTTGATGGTTGTTTCACATCAATCGAACCAGTTGCCTGGGGAAGCCAAGTTGTGCAAGCACTTTGATCCGCTTCGTTGAATACTGGTGATGGACATGACAGCCTCGTTTTCCTCTAGGCGGACTTGGTGCAATTCGTGCTTCCCCGGGCATGCATCGGCGGAGAACGTAAAAGAAGGCGTCTTTGCCCACTTCATGCGGGATTCCCTGTCGCTTCCGAGATGGAGGGCACAATCCACTATGTACAGGCCTTGCAGGAAACAGAAGCGGTGATCACTGGGTGTTCTGGGAAGCCGTGCATACAGGTTGACGACCAAAGGGAGTCAATCTTTTCAGCCTTGCTTCAGTTCTGGTAAATGTCTCGTACAGATATTCTGCGGCTTTTCGCCTTTGGATCATTGCTTCACATCGGTCGAACCAGTTGCTTGGGGAAGCCAAGTTGCGACGAGCCAATTGACCCATCTATTCCAGTTCGTTGAATTCTGGCGACGGACTGACAGCCTAGAAAGGGCTTCCCCTTGGCGGACTTGGTGTAATTCGTGAGCACAGCCGTCCGTGCATTGTTACGCAGCTTCCCTGTGCACACATAGGCGGAGAACGCCAAGGAAGATGTCCTGGCCCGCTTAATGCGGGATTTCCTGTCGCTGTCGCGATGGATGACAATCCACTATGTACAGGCCTTGCAAGAAACAGAAGCGGTGATCACTGGGTGCTCTAGGAAATAGGCCCAAATAGCCAGCCGTTCATACACCTTGACGGTGAGAGGGAATCACGGTTTGCTGCTTTTTCTTCAGCTTCTGCAAATGTGTCGTATTTTGTCGTACTTGCATGACAACGTGATCGAGTCATCCGCTTTGAGCAAGGAACTCATACATGACATCGTGACAAAAGTGCTGGGGAGCCTTGGCCAGGTGTTGTGTTTTCTTTCAGGGCACCAAGATCAGAACCTGTGTGTGTGTTTTAAGGAATGCCCGGTCGCCTCACAGCAGCTTGGAAGATGTGCTTGTTAAGGAGCGATCAACTCTAGACACTCGACAAGAGCCCTGAGGCGCCAACAATTTACTCACGAAAGCACTGGGAGCTGACGCAAACCTCTCGGCTGAGTCGCTGCTGATGCTGCCCATTTCGAAGGCGAGGCTTCGCAGATGGTCCATCGAAGGTCCTGCTGAGACTTGGGCACAGAAATTGTGTTCGCCGCCCTGCAGGTTCTCCGCATAGACAAGCTGGCCCAGATCAATATTACGGTGAAGAATGCATCCGTGAGCCAGACCCTTTTGCCGTTTTTGGCCGACCACAATTCAATCAAGTGGGTGTGTAGATTTCGATATCCCCATTGCTGAGGCCATTTGAATACATGGACAGCCATGGACATCTACTCTCCCAAGCCACAGGCACGCAGCATGGCATCTGTCGAGCACGCGCAACCGTCCTTGGCATATACTACAGGTGCCCTTTCACACTTGAAATGGGATGGGATGAGCCTTAAAATGTTTAAAGTCACCTTGACTTGACTGGCCATTCCACTCGGGAGCTCTCGGGAGGAGCTCTCCTTTGGCATGGAAATGCAAGAGCTGGACCTGCAGCTCCAGCCCCTCGGCGCCCTTCGAGGCCGGCGAGGCAAAGCCGGTGGCCGAAGCCAAGCCAAGCGTCTCAGTGTCTCATCGTGTGCTTGGAAAGGAGATAGATCTTAGTTGAGTAGTCGCCCTCCTGTGCTTTGTTGCCCTTTTGGTAGATAGTGCCGCCTGAGACTGCAAGGTTGAAGCTTGGCATTCTACCCGGCAGAGGGCCTGTGGGTGGCACTGAGCTGCAGGAGGAGTTCGCTGTCGCCCTGAAGGTGTTTCTCGGCAGACTCCGGTTGCACAGAAGCACACAAAAGCTTTGCTACTCGCACGGTGCTCCCGCCTGTATGTCGTGCCTTTGCAGAGCAGTGCCCTTGAGCATGAGAGAAGGAGAGAGGAAGTAACGGAGACAGGCAAAACCGGGTGCAACTGGCCCGTGGAAGAAAAACTCAGACAGGGATCTGGTACTCTGCTACGGAAGCCCAGAAAGTCCAGCGTGCGTAGTGCCACTTGAGTTATGGTGATCCGGAAGCCAAGTTTCAACATCAGTCATGAGTTGACGCTCCAAGCTCATGGGAAGCTACTTTCCTCATGACGATCCTAGCAGCGAGGTCGGAGCTATCCTTGGCTGCAAAGGCGTTTCTGGCATCTTGACGTGCAACTAAGTTGCGACACTCTCATCCAACGAGATGAGCTGTGCTGACGTTCTGATGCTTGCTGTTCCTTAGGCCCTGCATAGGAGATCATAGAGGTGAAGGATCCTGTGAAGCTGTGTCCTGAGGCTTTGAATGCCACCAGACTGGGTACCTTCACCACTGATCAGCTGGCAGCAGTCGGGTGTTTAGCCTCAGGTGCCACGGCTTTTGAGTAGGTGGGCACCAGCCCTGCACATGCTTACTCCGCGTATGCTTAGCATCTGCGACGCCATCCCGAAGAGGCCTTGATGCGGCAGCTGCGCTCCAAGCAGACTTCGGCGCGACCTCCTTCCGAACAACTCTGACTCCCCGGCAAGGCACAGCCCCGAGTCGCCGAGGGCCCTGAGATGCGATGCTCTGGAGCTGCGCTCGAATTCCTGGCGACACTTCAGGCAGCGGCGACTTGGAGGATGATGTCGACCATATGCTGAACTCAGCCGCGGCCTTCCTGCTAGGACCTTCCCCCTTCCCACCATTTCCCACCTCCAACTTAAGCTTCGACCAGAATGTTCCAAGCTGCCACTACCGGAAATCTTCCGGGCCTGGCGTGCAGGAGCTTACAAGGACGCAATCCAGCAGGTCGGACACAGCATGCTCATGGCAGAAGGTCTTCACATGGCCCGGGCCTTATGCGGAGCATCGCGAAGACCTGCGATGACCTTGCGGGCAATGCAGGCTGTTGCCTGTCGGCAGTCTGTTGTATTACATAGGTGAACGAGAAGATCAGCAGCTTCCTGTCAGCACCACCACCATGTCCACCTCCTGAGAATGCACGCTTGGCTGCAACTTCAGCTGTGCCCAGGGAACAGCAGCTGCGGTCACATTCAGCAGACACCCAGGACTTCAGCAATGACATGCTGTCGAATTCAGCCTTAGCTGCATTCGCAGTGTGCTTTTTGGCCCCCTCCTTACACGAAGTCTTGTTGTCATGTTCTTGAAGCAGATGCACGGGCAAACCTTCCTCGCGCGTGCTCGGCTTCACTGGTTTGGGGAAACTCGTGAGTTTGCTGACCATGCAACGGACGGTGTCCTGCAGGCATCATTAGGCACTTGCCTGGGCCTGTCCATCAAATCGAAGCTCGGCCATACTCAAGCCAAGTTACACTTCCCCAAGATTCCGTGTGCGAGCTGGCAAAGGAAGAAGACAGATCCGCGGGCATGTCAAATGCAGGACCTATGTACTTACGCTACTCAGAGCTTTCTTGTCAAACGCGATATGCGCCTGCATACAATGACTCTTTCATTCGCCGAAGGGTGCGCGCGGTCGCGTTTGTGTGTGTGTGTGTGTGCGTGTGTGCGTTTTCTCCCTCTTTGTGTTTTGTTTTTTTGTCTGTGTGTGTGTGTGTTTGTTTGTTTGTTTGTTTGTTTGTTTGTTTGTTTGTTTGTTTGTGCAGTTGTTTGTTTGTTTTGCACCCCGCTGGTATCTCTACACACAGATACATTGAAAACACTGCACGGTCTCTTGCATTGAGCAGCAGGACATGTCCTTGGCAACGACAGTAACAACGAGTACGGGGACCGGGCCTACTTCCTTGGTGGCAGAGATAGGCAAGGCAGCTTGAAACAGTCGCAGGAATGCAGTGCGAGGCAGAAAGAGCATCCAAGTAATTTGTTTACATCCTCTTGAGTCTCGACCAAGCAAGTTCAATGCACCGATGCGCTTCATTGAACAGGCGGCGGTGGTGCTAATCTTTCTGCTATGATGCCGGCGAGGGCTTTGGCTTTCCACCCGCGAACGCCGCCGTATATGCGCCGCCAACCTAAATTAAACAACGCCAGCTACGATGAGATAACTTGATAGTCTGGAAAATTGAAAAGGTTTTGTCTTGACGATTGCATATGAAGCGCTGGCACATTGAGTGGAAGAGCAAGGTTGGGGCCTCCCGCTGCTAATGGCTGCAACAATTCTCATGCCTCGCGGCCGCAATTGGTCACGCAGCAAGCAGACCGAAGGACGGTCTCCTTGTTTGCTTTTCTCAAACTTGGGATTGCTTCGCCTGCAGGTTCGTGTCGAGCAACTCTGGGATTGGGGCGGGCGTCGTCGCAGTGACCTCAGCATTCTGCGACGTCTGCGGAAGAACCTGATGCTAGCTGCCGCAGACCTCTTGATTTGTGAGGTTTCTGTGACAGCAAACGGGCGGCCTGTCGTGGATTTGCCGCCGACCTTCCAGTTCTCACTCCTCGGATCCATCAAGGACATGTGGCAGGGACGCTCTGAAAGAGAAACGGCACAGGCCTCCGCCGTCCAGAGGGAGCCTGCACCAGGGCTCTCCTCCCCCTCACGCAGTCTCTCCCAGTCCATATAAGGAAAAGTATATGGCCTGGCGTTTCTCATCCTTGGCTTCAGCGGACTTTGGCCATACATCAAGCCGACCTTGATGCTTCCTGTCTGTTTATTTGGAGCATGGACTCGTACATGTTGTGGGGGGCTTGACAGGCTGGTCTGTTGGTTTACGCCGCCCTCCCGGCTGAGCGTTGCGAAGCGCCAGGGCTTGCTGAACTTCCTGGATGCCTTTGGCAAGTGGTCGTTGGTAGACACGTGACCTTGGCATACCTTGGAAAGTCCTGTAAAGGGCATTGAGGGGCTGTTGAAACTCTTCTGGCAGCAGAGGCATGCTGCAGACTGGCCTGTTCTGCATCCAAGGTTTTTCATGGTGCTTTGCATGGTTGCCTTCAACTTCGACTTGCGAGCTGCTCTCATAAGTTTAAAAAAATTAAGGCAGGCTTTCCGAGTTTGAGTTGTAGGGAAAGCCACTGTCCTGGCGTGACGTTGCAAGCCAGTTGCAAAAAAGGGAATGGCTTTATGGAGCGAGTTAGAGCTGCCCTGGCCGAGGCTACTACTGATGGGCCAGCATTGCTTAATGATATTTTCCGGGAGGCTAAAGGCGAAGCTGCGTTCAACGTCCATGTTCAACCAGACCTTGGCTTCTTGCACCTCGGCGGCATTAACTGCCTGGGCCCGGCTGTGCCTGGCCTAATGTGAACACGAATGGTATCAGTGCCTGCACTTCGCACTGAATGCTGTCGCTCTAAGTACCTTCCTCGCTGCGACCTTTCTCTCGCTTATTGCTGGCCATATAACGACTGCCTGCCATCGCTATGCGCACAAGCTGGGCGAGTTCGGAGTAGAGGAGGACGGACCTTCGCGAAGATTTGAAATCTTCTGCAGATCCCACTCCTGTTTCCGACGTCGCACACAGGACAACGACAAGCGACGACTGTGCTACGTTTTGTGCTCAAGCCCTCTGGATGTGCACGGTCCGACGATATCCATCGGCGTGTCCCTCTTGTCGCTAGTCTGATGTTGTGTGAGCACACGAGTGGGGCGCTCTCTATCTTCAGAAGCTGGGCCGAGCTAGTAACCTCAGCACCAAGGTTGGTTCTCTGTGGCACATTCTTGGAGACCTTCAACTTCAATTTCCTGGGCATGGCGGGCTATGCTTTGGGGGAGGAGGCGTAACTCCATCACGCACAGAGTCACAGAGTTTGTGTTGCTGTTGAGCTAGCTTCTGTTCCGGTGGGTGTGGGAAGGCGCGACACCGCCCATTTTCCGTGTTCAGCCTGGGCCACTCTGCTGCAAAAATTCAGGGCTCCAAGGAATATCCACCAAGTCCACTGCTTCAAAAAACTTCGGATTCCCACCGGCTTTTGGGCTTGCAATTCGTGACGGGTGTTGGAGGCACGAGAATTCGAAGCAGCAATCCGGACCCCGACAGCCACTTGTCTGCACTGGCCGCTGGTAGAGAGTTCGGCGATGTCTTCACGGCGGAATCGCTGGAAGCTTCAAGGGCCAGTCATGGCATTGCCGAAAGCTTTGTCGGCTGTAGCATCGCATATGGCAGGTGCCGGGATTCTGATCCTCGCAGGAGACTGGGCATATCGACTGGATGCGCACCCGCACATGGCCTCAGTGTCAGCCTGCAGGAGTCTACTTCCTCTTTACCACTATTGTCGTGGTCGCTTACCACGTGCAGCCTGCCCAGACATCTCTTAGTGATGGCACGGCATGGTGACCAGTGGCGAGTACGAGCTCAGGATTTTGATTGTTCTGTGGACTGCTCCGTTGTCCAGAAGAGCACAGAAACAGTGGCTTCTGACCGCGCAGGTGTTCAATGCCTGGCAGCTTGGCAGAAGAGTTCATCATCTAGCGAATCAGGGCACAAGGTGCACCTTCAAGGGATGAGCCTGCGAGGAGTGGCTTGGACGTTTTCTGTGTGACCATCTTGGCGGGAATCCTGGAGCTTCGGGAGTTTGCGCATTTTATTGTCGGCGACAAATGTGCCGAGCGCTCAGTCGCAGACTTGACCAGGATGACACAAGTGAGAGCCAGACGGACCCAAGGGCATCCGAGCTGTTGTGGTTGGCTTCGGGGTGGAGGGGGCTACAAGGTGAGCAAAACGACTTGCAGAAGTCTTTGTGGTTTCTGTTGGGGCGGCATGGAACGATACTCACGATATTGGCAACGACTCCGTTGCATTGGCGGTTCTACTGATGCAGTTTCAGCTTGGCACCACGAGTTTTAGCTTAGCACCACGAGACTGCAAGTTGACTGCCTCATTGCAACATTGAGCTGGCGGTTAGCGTGGCATCAAGGACGCGATCAACCAGGCCGTTGCCAAGACGACATTGGCCGACAAGTTGCCAGGCCAAGCGGTTTACGTAGTAGCTGAGAAAGGGTTTTGCTCTGCATCGCAGGTGGCGTCACCTGCTTTGATGTGGAGTCTACCCTCCGCGTGGGTTTCTTGGTCTTGGCGCTGGCCGCGCGACTGCAGTGCTTCCAGGGCAAGTCTTTGAGCAATCAGCAGCAGTGATGGTCATTGTAGCCATGTTGCACTCAGCCGGGGGGGTACTTGTATTTGTCGGGTCGGAAGGCTGTCGTCATCTCCACGATAACTGGCCATATCATGATGGCAAAGTGCAGCAAAGCTTTATGCGACTTGGCTTCCTTTGGGCAAGCTTTCGTCGGGCATGGCCGCTCAATGTCTTTGCCTCAGGCGCACCGCCAGCAGATGCCGATGTGCGAGAGGAGGCTTAAGCACACTGGCAGAATCAAAGCTCTTCAGAGCCGCCTCCGTGTGTCCGGTAAGATGGGCACGAGCCGCTGCTGCTCGAAGAGCAGCTGTGGTTAACGGTGATCAAGCCGCACGGAAGGTAAACTCTGGTATGGCTCTGTGTAGAAGGCCAGATTGGCATATTTGTATGGAGATTAACAGATTTCTCTCTTCCTGTGAAGGCTCTGCGATGTAAATGTGTTTGCAGGATCCAGCGGAAGCGTGCCACGCACGGGGCTAGGCACGCTGCTTCAATGCCGCATGTTGTCCAAAGACAATGGTGCACCTTGAAAGTCTGGACCGCAACGGACGAGGTATGATGGCAGTCAGGGCACTGCTGCCTAAGTTTTTTCTTAATTACTACGGCAAGAGCGGACCATAGATAACGAATGCACCCTGAGCATTTCATATTGCTGGAACAAATGTGCACTGACTCCGCTTCGTGACTTCGTCCTTAAAGATTTTTACGACATGCGGGGCACTTGGCCTCTGAAACCTTTGCCGAATGCCGCAAATCGCTACCCGCGTATGGCTGGGCGTTCTTGGAAAAGGTTGCATCGCGACTGTGCCTCTCAATTCCTTGTCCGGATTCGCTTCCACAAGGCTCGACGTTGGGGAGACTTACTGTGGTGGCAGCGCCCGGCACGCTTGGACATGTGTGTCTGATTCAATGAAGGTTAAGCGTCACTTCGGATTGAAGTGCTATGATGTGCTGACGGCTGCGTACACTGCCGAGGTATGCCGAGGTCCTGCAAGGGTTGCAAATGGAGTAATGCGGGCGGAACCTTGTCGCCAACTTTCATGTGATTAGTATCCACCTGTTCCAGAGCAATCAGATCCTGTATGCATGTACAAGCATTCAGCATGCGTAACGGGGTGGCTTCTGCAAGTTTCTGCTGTTGCTGCGTGTTCATGCAGCAGGCAATACATCGGTCAGCCGGCTCAGTTTGTCAAAGACATGAAGCCCGGCAAGTTTTTGCTCTGTCATGTAATGCTGAAACTCTCGGCTGGGCGTGTCAAACTCTAAGGCTCTGGCTTTCTGGGCACACAGTGCCCTGACAAGCAAGTGGCCCTCTACACTGCGCAAACCTCAGCGTGTCAATGTGGTACTGTAGGTTTTCAAGCGGCTCCATCGCCTGCAAATGCCTGACTGAGGATGCGGCTCACAAGAACGAGTTAGCTCTTCAGACAATTTTCGAGGTGCCGACAGGGACACGGGAAGATATGTTGTCGCCAGAGGCTTGCAGGGAGGCAAATGAGGTCAGCTCAACATGAGGCTGAATGCCGACCCCCTCGCCAGTGAAGTACGCAAGGAGCTGACATGCGGGTTACTGCCACCGCTCCCTGGGCAGGCACTCTGTGAGCGACCAGCTACACTCGAGGAGTACCCCAAGAACTCCACACTAATAAGCACTGGACTCAGTTGCGGAGTTTTACAGAGTGTTGGGCCCGAGAGCCGCGCCACCTCATTGCAGAGCAGCTGAATTTCGATCGCCGACCAGCATATATTGAAGAACTCAGCAAAGTTCAGGTATTCAGGGCAGCCTTGTCATTCCAGTTCATGCTGAAAATGTCGTAATTCCCCAGGTCGAAATCCCTGTTGTATGACATACCAAGCCAAATGTATGCTAACTGCTGTAAAGTGTGTACTTTCCAAGTTGTACCTGAGCCTCGGATGCACAAAGCGCATGAGTTTGGAGTCTTCAGACGCGAGGGCTGAAGCTTCGGCGTGAGGCGGGCATGAGGGCATGTGCACTGCAGCCCCTTCTCAAAAAAAGGCAGTCATGAGTACTGTGTTGTGGGTCCCTCTGCCCGACTGCCGGAACAGAATCCACAGGGGTCTGGTGTGGTCGAAGCACTCGACGAGGTTTCCTGCAAGGCTGCGTGCAAGACCCACTGTAAGAGTCTGAGGTAGCACAGAGACTCCAAAGAAAGGGACGGCGTGGTACGCAAGACCCGCCCAGCGGGTATCTCAGACCGCAAGTGCTTCTGCTTCCGATCTGCTTGACTGTTGATGGCACAGCGCCGGCAGGTGCCAAGGCGAAAGGTTGACCAACCTGACGCGAGAGGCCAGCAGAGAAACCTTCCCACAGACATGAGACATGTTGCGCTGAATCAACGCAGGAACGTGTAGTCTTGGTAATTCCGAGGTCAAATGCAAGTTCCTGTACTGATAGGGCAACGAGACATAACCCGCCGCAGTCGTGAACTCCCTGTCCTCTCAACCTTCTTTTGCTTGTGTTTCTGGTTTCCCAATCTTGCGACCCCTGTGCATAAGACAATTAGAATCAAGGCACGAATGCTCATCTTTGTCGTCGTGGCTGTCGAGGTCGTGTTGTCGTCGTCGTAGTAGAACCTTTTGCAGTCGTACTTTTGCTTTCGCTCTTAACATCCGCAGCTGCAGCAGGAGTTGTGTCGTCGTGGTAGTCGTCGTCGTGATGGTGATAGTACGTACTAGCAGAGGAAGAAGAAGGGGGTGAGAAGAGAAAGAGTACAGTTCCGCCACATGGGGGTTTCCGAAAATAGGGGACCCTAATATAGTACCCCAAATAATAGGATCCTTATTCTAAGGACCCCAAAATAAGGTACCCCTAATTTCGGCAACTCCCACATCAATGACTTCGGACAGGCTGCGGAAGCCAAGCAAGAAACCCGATGGTGGAAGGAGCAGGCAGGACCACGAGTAGCCCCACCGCTTTCGTACGTTGGGAGAAGAAGTGTTAATCACATAATATACTTATATAGTACTCCTGATATGTGTACGGATATTTTGCAGGAATTTATTACTATGCAATATTGCAAGCAAACATGTCATCTACAAGAAAATGGATAGAACTCTAACAGCACAACTAGAGTGTGCTAGTTTTTTGCGTACGGATCTTTGATGATCATTTCATCATGTCTGTGATGGTTGATATTGCTAGTTATAAATTACTCCTGTTCGTTAACTTGTCTGCTTCTGCTCTGGTTATCGCCGTCACAACATGGCTAGGCTAGAAGTACGTTCATGCACCTGATCTCTCTTGCACGTTGCTTGAATGCGTTGTGTAGCCATTATTAGGTTCCATCATCATCCCAGTCATAGCCGAATGATGCTCATGATGCAATCCCATGTTGCTTGGAGTGCGAGGGAGGTAGCCTTAAAACCACGCTTTTGAAGCCGACTCAAGTTTTCGACGGTGCCCTGGCCCTCCCACATATGCACCGGACCCCCGCAGCCACCACACTCCACTGAAACTCCAAGCCGAAAAGGCTGGGACTGGGAGAAACATGGCATGGCAGAGTGGGGCTGGGGTTGGGGAGGGGCACTGGGAGGGATGTAGACTGTTCGGCACAGTCTGTCTCCACAAATACAATGCAGAGTTGTTTGTACTTCAAAATTCTGGCAGCTATGGCTATGGATGGGATGGAAGGCGACAGTCTTCAAAACAACATTTGCTGAGCATTACAGTGTTTCGCGTCCTGAACCTCACGAAACACCTTCATACTCAAAAACTCCTTAATTCGAAACCTGAAGCTCAAGCAACACTGTAATGCTCAAAATTGCACACCGTCCAAAGTTTGGAAGATTTCTTCCCAGCCTAAAGTGAGCTCCTCGTCACGCTCCGAGTGCAGCTTGCTTTAGGCCTGAAGAATCAGAATGAAATCTCAAGTATTTGGTGCACCCAAGCGCCGTGCACCCGTCAACCGCCCTTGCGGTGCATTTGGGAAGGGGCAGGCGGGGCCAATGAGTAGACATGTCATGTCCTTATGTTATATATATCTGTATATGCATGTAAGTACATCTGTATTCTGTTATCTGCATCCACATAAGGCTTGCTGCAGCATATGCTTCGCACATGTCTGTAGTTACATCTGCATGTATGACATGTGGGCATGTAGAAAAGTTCACATAGATATCTATGCCAACTCACATTTGCGGTCACCGTTGCATGTATAAATATACGCGTGAGCACGTATACATCATTGCATGTATACATATGAATATATATATATATATACAAATATACACGCAGACAAACACATATCCAAACAGATATGCACCCGTGACTACATAAAGGACGTTGGCCCATACAGAGGTACAGCAATGTGAAGCATGCGACCACATCAACACCTGCATATAAATAGGCAGGCAGAATGCCTACGTGCATGCATTTACCGTTCTATCATGTTTCAACCATCCGGTCTGCCTACCCTTTGTGGCAGGGGGCAAAAAACCTACCCTTTGTGGAACTAGCCCGTGTATACGGATATATATATATATGAGCCCGACAC